TTGCATTCTCCACTAACATGTCATTGCCCTAGAATGAAGGACAAAGTGATGTGAAGTGAGTTCTAGTTAAGTAGGGATACCAAATGAACTGTCCCTTACTTTCCCAAGCTTGACAACAAAATAATTTGCTTCACACTTTTCCTCCTCTTAAACTTTAGGTGGCATCTTGTGTAGCAGACATTGGAAGATCTGTTCACTGCGTAGTTTAAGAAAAAACAACTTACCTGAACTATGCAAAAATTGCTTTATAAAACATGCATATAAAAAACTGTATTTGGGTGTGCTTTATTGCAAATGAGAAACAGACAAGTCTTAGTAGAGCCTGTTTGCCTCATAACTTTTAAAATATTCATTCAGAGTTTTTAAAAATGCAAAAATGTCTGTGTGTGAATGCATGCATGCAGACACACGTACACATGTGTCCACATATACACAGAGGTTACAGAGGTTCCTTTTCAAAAAGAGTGAGTTGCTAATTACACAAAACAAGATTAACACTGGTGTTTAATCCCTGAGACTTTTCTAAGGCTGTGGGGAAAAAATAGAAACAAAGTTAACCATCACTAAGCTTCTCTTCTCTTCTATAGAATACTTCATTATTTAAACTAGAGCTTTAAGAAATGCCCTGTAACTGTAGAAGAGAAAATCATCCCCGGGCAAGTGAGAATTAAGGCCTAGTGCAAACATAAACGTAAAGATTTTGCATTCTGCCCACATCTGCCCTTTGCTGCCTTTTTAGAGTTGCCCATGACACTAAACATGGTTGGTCAACTGGAATTAATGCATAAAAACAGAGGATGGGGGAGGAAGGGGAAAGGTGTGATCCTTGAACTCTATTTAATTTTATAACTCCAGAGATTTAAACATTATTCAGTGTTTGTAACATTATGGGAAATGGTGTTGCAACAGAACTACCCTGTTTCCCCGAAAATAAGACCTAACTTGAAAATAAGCCCTAGTATGATTTTTCAGGATGCTCGTATTATAAGCCCTACCCCAAAAATAAGCCCCAGTTAAGTGAAACTCCGTCCTCCACCATTGTGCAGCAACCAGAAGATGACATGACTGTAAAATAAAACATCCCCTGAAAATAAGCCCTAATGTGTTTTTTGGAGCAAAAATTAATGTAAGACCCTGTCTTATTTTCTGGGAAACATGGTATGAATAGTTAAAATTTCCTAAAGCAATGGACTCACTGTGTGGGATGAACACCAAACAAAATGAGCGTTTGAAGTGAATGGTTGCAAAGGAGACTGAGCCAAGAGTGATGAAATGGTAGACATGAGGTTTCCTTAGTTATTGTCCTAATAGACTTCATCAAGCCTTCCTTGAAGTACGTAAAGTTCAGTGCTACATGCTTGATGCAATTTACAGGGGGAAAGGCAGGAACACACATGCACACACAAACACACACACACCAATTATTTTTGCTATTGTGGAGTTTGCAGCTATTTGTACTGTTCTTTATGCAGCTTAAACCCACTGTCTGTGTGTATGATGATGATTTAATTCCTAGTATGCAGTGGTCCATTGGATCACTTAGGTCTCAGAAGGTACAGTACTATCCAGACTCCATGGGAGGACATGCCCCTCTGTTTTAAGCACTTCGTAGTTGAAATAAATAGTTGGGCAAAGTGGGAAATGGAAGGATTGAAGGTAGTGATGATAGCCCCTGAAATGTTAAAAATTTGGCCCGATTTTGTGGAAATGTGTATTCATATATGCATTTTATTACAAATACTTAATATCCCACACCTAAATATGAAGATTTCCACACCTTAACATGTTCTGTTGTTGCACAGAGGCCTGTAATTATATGGAGGAACTGCAAATTAACATGAACCACTGTATAATAGCGGTCGGGTCGCATGGATTGCAGCTGATCCGATGTGTTTGCATCTCCGTACAATACAAATTCGACATGGCCATTTTAATAGTCACAGAGGTGTCTTTCATCCTCAGTGGTTTGTCCTTGATTTCAGCAGGGGGAATTCAGTAAAGTGGTGTGCCGTGTCTTTCAGCATCCCAGTTAAAAGCAGACACTTTAAGGCTAGATTAAAATGTTTATATGAGTGAAAAGAGACTTGGCTTTATATTGTTACCCTTTCTATATAAATTTTTATAAACTGCTATTTTACTTTCATCATGAATGCTGCAAGATGTTATGGCATCCATTATGTATCCTCATGGTTGTGCTGTCACTGTAGCTTATTTAAGGTTGCTCCCATAAGTGGAGAAGGCCCCTTACCCACATACAGAGAAACAAGCATGTAAATGTAATATATGCAGCTTTTAAACCTTCATCTTTAAAACGTGCAATATTTATAACCACTTTACAGTCCCTGAATATCTGCTTTCTTGTCACAGTGAATTAAATAAAAGCCATTCCAAAGGCAGTGTGATGGTGGACCCACAATAAAGGCCAAATCAATATTTAGACAGCTTCAGGCTACTAAGGTTCTGCCGACTTCCACACTTGCCAGCAAGTCTTGCTTGCATTTGTCATGAAAGTTGCTGTTTTATGTACTTGAGACATTAATGCAGCTCTGAAATACTTCTAAGACTCCTCCCTAAGGGTATGTCTTAAATTTGCAAATACGCCTGTTACAGTTCTTCAAGATACAGTACTGCTACCCCGATGTTTGTTGTAAATTAGTCCTGTATTGTTATGAGGAGTCTTGGTGCAGGAATCTTGTAGGCATAAAGGATCCAAACCAATTTAGTCCTCTTATCTCCCCACTGTTGTAAATCGTGTGTGTGTGTGTGTGTGTGTGCATGTTTTTAAGAATAAGCAGCTGCTTACGATGATATCATGTCAACAACTCCAAACAGGTTCTGCATGCAGGACCCTCTGGAGGAAGATATGAATAGCAAATGTTGCCTGGAACCCTTCTGTTTTGTGGGGTCTGAAAGCCTTGACTCAGCTTGAGGGAAGAATGCACTGTGGGATGTTCTGAGTCAGTGAAATTTAATTTTGCCTTGATTGAATCTAAAGAAGTGTGAGTTAAAAACCTTTCCATGGAACTCAGGTGAGACTGCTGTACTTGTTTTGCAGTTCTCCCACCTAGTGGTTGTGTTCGGTAATTACTGTGATTTGTTTATTTATTTAGATAGTGTGTAGTCAGCAACAGGACTAAATCCAGATATGGATAGAAACCAAATACCACAGCCTGGGAGAGTTCTTCTTTTGATTATTTATTTTTAAATTACAATCTGGTCACTATTCTAGCATCCTACCATGTATCTTTCTTAGAAACTTAGGAGACTGAGTGTGCTAGTCAAGTTTGAAACAGGAGACGTTCCTAAGTGCTTTCACCTCTTTCAGATGTAGCTACATGTTGGTTGTTGTTGTAGATGTTTACACGAAACCTCATGTCACGCAGACATATATGTATGTTTTGAGGGGACTGTGCTGTATATCCAGCGGATTGAGGTGTTTATTAAACTTACTTCTTCCCATTGTGCAATGAAACATTCCCTTCCCTGCAGCCTCCACCCCCACCCCACACACTGCATATCTTCTGTGGGAAGTCCCTTGAACCTCCAGAGAAAATGTGAGGTACAAGGGCCTGTAGGGAGAAGGGAGATATACGTATTTATCACCACTGGTGAACAGAGGTAATTGGTGATAGCTCTAAATGCCACTGGAGAAATGGCAGCTCCTTTTCATTTGGAAAACTTTAACTTCAGAGATTGTAAAACTTTCTCGTAAGGTGTTGCTGAAAAATTGAGTTTAATAATAGTAAGAAAAAAAGTCTCATTATTTACATTTCAATAATCTAGGCTTTTATACTTTAAATTTACTTGTTAAATATTAATCTGCACCTCCCAGGAAATTCATTTCCGGTCCTTATATAGACTTCTTTCTCATTTTAAGTTTCATTTTTATTTTCATTTTTAACGAATGTGCACATTTCTCAACCTCATGGCTGAAAAAGCCAGCTTAAAAGCAGGCAGGCAACCCCTGGTGAAAGGTCAGAAACCTGAGGCCAAACAGTCTGAATCAAAATAACCTGAAGCTGTTGAATCTTACTTTGGGGATTCCTTGTCTAGGGAACTATCTTGTCCAATCCACTGCTGACAGAGCCCAGCATTGTTGCCTCTTCCACAGCAGTAAAATCTGGAGAAGCAAATGCGTGTTGTTGCTGCATTCATTTGTGCTGTTGGAGTCTGTATCCAGCCTTGCCTTGTGATTATAGGAGCCATAAAGTAATACATACACTATTACCTGTCAATTGTTTGGTTTTCTGACTCATTCCACCCAGAGATTCTAGCAATCACAGGGTGATATTATGTACAATCCCCTGAGTTGCTCCATTGCTTTCCTCCCCTCTCTGCTATCCTCCCTGCTTTGGTAATTTCATTGAACCAAACACCATGCACTTCCCCCCAACATCCTGCTCTTTTATTAGTACTGTTTAACATTTATGTTGTTCCAGTAGTGAAAACTCCCATCATGCCCAGTCAACATGGTTGCTTGCCATGCTGATTGAGGATGATGGGAGCCTGATTTCTGTACCCCAGGTGGTTGCTGCGTTTGAAAAAGCTACTGTTGTCCTTTGAAACAACATTTTTTTAAATTTCAGTGACTGGCATATTTTGTTCTAAGTGCAGTGTAAACGTAGCCTAGATTATAAAAATATTGTGAAATTGGTGGGATTATATACCCATGAAAATTCAGCAGCATCCCTGAGGTTTGTTGAACATCTGTTACTAGAGTAAATTCCATTTGGCAAGCGCCAAAGATTGTCATCGCTTTCTGAGTCATCGGTTGGAAGTAATGTTTAGATGATCCTGTCATAGGAAGTGTATACAAATAGTAATAGAGCGCAGGGAGCATTAATTATTGGAAGTAGCTTCTCTGCTGACTTAATAAAAGATTAGCGAATGCGCTGGTATTTATGGACATTAGAGCTGCCAGGTTATCTAACTACACTTGAGGGGCTTGGGACAATAGCAGTGCTGATGGTAATGCTGGCAATTTCCCTGTTTTTTTGCAGGTCACTGCCAGGGGATTTGGTCCATTGTTACAGTTTGCCTACACTGCTAAGCTGTTACTCAGCAGAGAAAACATACAAGAGGTCATCCACTGTGCAGAATTCCTGCGCATGCACAACCTGGAGGACTCCTGTTTCAGCTTCCTTCAGACGCAACTGCTGAATAACGAAGATGGCCTCTTCCTGTGCAAAAAGGACAGTACCTGTCAGCGGATGCATGAGGACGAGAACTCGGAAGGAGAAGAGGAAGAAACGATGGATTCAGAGACTTCCAAGCTATCTTGCCCGAGAGAGAGAACGCACCCCGAACCCTTTAACTTTGAATCTGCTTGCTCAGGAGCTGAGAAAGAGGAAGGCATGCTCCCGGACTCGGAGATACTGAATGATGGCAAGGATAATTTGGATAAAGAAGCAGTAACGCGGTACCCCAGATATAAGAAATACCAGCTGGCTTGTACCAAGAATGTCTACAACACATCACACATTAGTACCTCAGGTTTTGCAAGCACATTCAGTGAAGAGAATTCTGGTGATGGCCTCAAACCAGAGCTTGCTGTAGGGCAGATTAAAAGTGAGCCTAGGAATGAGGAGAACGACGAAGAAAACATCACACTTTGCCTCTCTGGAGATGAGACCGACATCAGGGATAAAGAGGGGGATGTCGAAATGGACCGAAAGCAGCAAAGTCCTACTGGAGCAGACGGGTCTAAGAGCGATTCCCCTCCTTCCTGCCTAAGGTCTTTCTTCAACCGAACAAAAAACATAGACTTAGTTGGCTTCCCCAGTACTTCCCAACAGCACTTTGCCAGGAGTCCAGTGTGCCCTTTCGACAAAGGGACAACTCAGGGTGACCACAAAACTGATTACATCCCTTTTGCAGGGAATGTTGGACTCTCTCAAGCTGTTCAGAAGGATGCTTCCAATTTTACAGTGGGATCGCCTCTCAGGGTTCCTGGCTTTGTTGAAGGTCTTTGTAAGCAGGAAGGTGAGGTGGACAGGAGGAGCGTTATCTTTTCTTCAACTGTTTGTGACCAAGTAAACACTTCGGTGCATTCATATTCTGGCATGAGCAGCTTGGACAAAGACCTCACTGAAGCTGTGCCAAAGGGTCTGTGGGCAGGAAGTAGCCAATCTCTTCCCAGCTGTCAGACCTACTCTCACATGGGACAGGCAGCTGATCACTTGCCAGGACGGATGCGGCCTAACACCAGCTGCCCAGTGCCAATTAAAGTTTGTCCTCGCTCTCCTCCTCTGGAAACCAGAACAAGGACCTCCAGCTCATGTTCCTCCTACTCTTACGCAGAGGATGGGAGTGGCGGTTCTCCCTGTAGCCTCCCTCTGTGTGAGTTTTCATCGTCCCCCTGCTCCCAAGGAGCTCGATTCCCGGCCACTGAGCATCAGGAGCCGAGCATGATGGGAGACGGAATGTACAGCCAAGTCAGACCCCAGATAAAATGTGAGCCATCCTATGGAACAAACTCTAGCGATGAGTCTGGATCGTTCTCTGAAGCAGACAGTGAGTCATGTCCTGTGCAAGACAGAGGACATGAGGTAGGGATCTGTGATAAGTACACCTGTTAACGCTTCTTGTGACAGATTCATTAAGCCCACAGTTGTCTTAAATGGCTTCCTCTGTATACTGAAGCAGAAACCGGTCAGTGTTATTCAATCCGCTGTTGATTTCGCAATTAGACTACTGTGAAAAAGGAAAGTTGCAGAAAATATTTGAGGATGATAAGATCCTGTGTTCTATAAAAAGAATTAGGGCAGACCTAGTTCTCCTTAATCTCCAAACTGTTATTGGCAGACTAGGAGCACCTCAGAGGCATGTGTGCTTCTGTCCCCTACACCATGCATGGAAATTTCCCCCTCCTTTGGGGTTATTGAAACCTACTGTGCGTAGCTCATGTGCCAGCATTTTTTGTCAAGCCTAGTTAGCCTAAACCACAGTTTGAAAGTTTCCTTTTAACTATAATTGAAAATTGTGATTTGTTGTTGGTTTTGGTATTTGGCAAATCAGCATACCAGCATTATACCAGATTTAGCATTCTGGCAATGCTAATCCTCGTTAGCTGTAGATTGAATGGAGGAAGGGCAGTGTGGATGGAGGCAGAAAGATGGGTGAAGAGCAGTGTTTCAAGTCAGGGTTGAGGGTTTTGCAGGCCATTTGCTATTGTTTATTAAGTTAATGCCTGCTTTGTGGAGAAGGTCATCTAAAGGAGAGGGGAAGGATAGGGAGCAGAGAAGCAGAGAGATAGATCCATGTTCACAGAGCACAACCACAACAAGAATCTGGATCCCTGGAGAGTTAATCTATATCTTATCAGGCCATGCTATCTTGAATTGCATCTCTTTCCTAGCCCAAAGCTATATGACCTTGCTACAATTAACTGATTGTGCTTCTCATCAGTAATGTTACTGCTACCGCATCCAGTAAAAAGCTCTTTCTGGCACACAAGCAAATAGTCTTACACAAGGGATGAGGAGGAAGAGCAAGGTTCCAAAAGCATAACTATAAAGGGTCCTATTCAGTACTGACAGATAGGTATACGTAGAGTTTTAGCTAATCCGTATCCTTATTTATCAGTGGGAAGCAAGCTCTTTCAGACATTTGACTGACAAATAAATGCACAGATCGTGTTTTGGGGGCAGTAAAACAGCTTCCCTCCAAGATAATCTTGGGGTTCAGGATATTTTGGTGCTTCAGCAGCAAGACCTTGTCACTAGAAAAAGAAATGATGCTTTTCTCTGTGCAGTTAAATAGAGTTTGCACTGATGCATAGAAAACAGGGCATGCTCCCTGAAACTTTTCTAAAACTGTGGGGGAGGAAAGAGAAACAAAGTTGGTTATCTCTAAACTTATCTTCTCTTTCTATAGATTACTTTATTATTTAAACTGGAACTTTAAGAAATATTCTGTAGCTGTGGAAGAAGAAGCCATCCCTTGGCAAGTCAGAATTGAGGCCTCGTGCAGGCATAAAAAATTAACTTAAGATGTTGCAGTCTGCCCACATGTGCCCTTTGCTTCCTCTATTTTGGCTCCAACTTGGATGCAGCCATTGTCATCCATGCCCCCAAATCTACCCTGAGAACCACAGGAGTTTCACCTGTTACTGAATGGCCACAACCCACAGAAACTGTATTGTGGCTTCATCCTACCCTTGGAAGCCCTAGGATTGGGCTCTCTGGACAATGAACCTCCCATTACTTTCCTGCCACATCACATGGCAAATGACCTTAGAAAATAATGAATCTTTCTTTCCTCAGGAGTTTCCCCCTCCCTCTAAAATAACAGTTTGATTGCAGTTTTGTATCCACTGAGCTCTGTGGGATTTATTTGTGAGTAGGCATGTGAGTGTGGAAAAGTCTTTAATTTTCGACAATAGTTGTCAGAATCTCCCAGTTCAGTGCCCATACTAGGTGTGGGATTCTGGGAATAGAAGTCCAGAAATAACTAGAATTCCCATGCTCCAAATACACATACCATGTTTCCCTGAAAATAAGACAGTGTCTTATATTAATTTTTGCTCCAAAAACGCATTAGAGCTTATTTTCAGGGGATGTTTTATTTTTTTCATGTACAACAATCTGCATTTATTCAAATACAGTCATGTCATCTTCTGGTTGCTGCACAATGGTGGAGGGCAGGGTTCCATTTAACTGGGGCTTATTTTTGGGGTAGGGCTTATATTATGAGCATCGTGAAATATCATACTAGGGCTTATTTTCAGGTTAGGTCTTATTTTCAGGGAAACAGGGTATATAGGACTGCATTGGTGGTTAGCAATACAGTATTATAAACATTGCCAAGGGAGAAAATCCAATAGAGCTGAGTGAGTGAAAGGCTTCTGAGCAGATGTAGGACTGTTTTGGAAGAGATCAAGGGCTTTTTTGTGCTATTACTTTGTTGCCACCAAGAATTTATTTATTTATTTATGTATTTATTATTATTTTATTTATTTATTAGATTTTTACCCTGCCCCTCTAGACCATGTCTACTCGGGGCTCTCTTTCCCTGATCTGTTTGCTAATTTCCTCCATGCTTGGACCCATGCATCCCATGTAAGAGCATGGTGATCTGTCTAGTGCACGTTGTATGTGTTTACACTGTTACTACTTGATCTAAGAGCTGGAGTAAAAATGAATCTGGCTTTGGTATTTTCAAGCCCACTCATGAAGCTTCCAAATTCAAGCTGGAACTCTTTCTGCCTTTCAGTGGTGGTGTTTGTGCACAGAAGCATTATCCTAACATGGGACTGATATGCTCAGATAAGTTCCATTATTTATTCCTCATTGAATCAGAAATAGTATAAGTAATGCATGTGTAGCATGAGAGGAAGAGTCTTCAAAAGCATAATGACTGAGCATAAAAGCAAAATAGGAACTCTCATAAAGAGATAGGGGGCAATGTTTATATATGTCTATCCAACCATTCCCCCTCCCCTTTATTGTTTGACCTTGCATTTTTCTCAGTAACAAAAAACTACATTTTCTCTATGCAGAGATATTAACAGTAGAATAGTACTGCTGTTTCCTGCAGGATACTCAAAATAAGCTTCTTAGAAGGATATGGTCTTCACCCAAAGTAATATTAGCACTAATATTAGTATTTAGAAAAACACTGTCCTAACTGACACCCATTTTTGAGCATGGTGTCATCTAGAGCATGTCAGAATAAATTCCATGTGGAAACTCGTGGTAGAAATAATGTATGTGAACTGTATCAAGAAACAAGGATGGAAAGAGCCTTTTGAATGTTTTTGTTAACAAAGATGTATGCAAAGAGGATGAAGGTAAGGTTATCGTTCATTACATTTTTTTAAAAATGGATTCAAGTTTACATTCAAGCAAGACATGGGGCTGTTTCGTGCAGTTATATGATAGGGTCATAGTTTTCTTTCAAATGTGATAAAATATTGGATTACAGCAGTAGCTCAGGCAGCAAAATCTGTAAACTGTTAGAATACAAAATTGCTAGATCTGTCATTTGCATTTTTAAATCAGTGCGTTTGTTGGGGGGCCTTCTGCTTCAGGCACCAAGATATTTATAGCACATGCTGCATTTTGTTCAGCATCGTTAGCATGTTAATATGTTTTTTTTTCCTTCCTCTTACATTCAGACCTTCAAAGGGTGATAAAACTAAAAATAAGACTTGGAACATATACAAATGTGTATACTTCAGGTTGAGCAATCCATCTTGTTTTATATACTAACCACATTATATAAAAAATAATAGAAAATAATGTATACTTGAGAAGGTATTATATATTCACAAGCTGAGATCTGACAGGAATTCATCCCTGTTCTGTAATAACCTTTGTGCTTCAAGCCTTTTTTAGAGATAGGTTGATGATTGTCCTTTTGTGATATTCCCCTTGGAGTTCTGTAGGTAAAATCTAAACTTAATACAATTTAAAAGTCAAGACTTTACAAAGAATACTAAAGAAAGACAGGAATTATTAGCAGACTACTTTCCAAGAACTGCTAACATCCAGGGAAATCACATTTTTCTTGTCTTTCATTTAATATTTAAGAGCATCTCTCTAAATGGGGCTGGCAAGTTGTTTTTCAAAAGAGATCTTTCTCAAAGGAAGTGCTGTGAAACAATTCTGTTGACCTACTGAAAATGTTGAAGACCAGCTGTGAGCTCTTAAATGACAGTCCAAAAGCATTTGTGTCAAGTTGCATTACAAGTATCCAGCCATGTACATGCCGTTAGAACTGAATAGGCAAGATCTGATCCTAAAAATAACTCTGCTGTTTTTCAGTGAACAAAGCAATGTGCTTAACATTTAATAGTCCTGTTTGCAATTTATGAATCAGTTTTACTTTATTATTATGCAATAGCTGATCAGGCTTTTTTTACCATATTCCAAAGAAACAAAGAAAAAATGGAGACAGATTTTTTAAAAAGCAGTATATAAGCAGTACTTAAGAGAAAAAATATATAAAAAGAATAGGAGCAGATTAAAAAAACAATAGTGAAACAATATTAAAACAGAGAGAGAGAGAGAGCGCATACATTCTGGCAAATGTGTGCTAACCAAAATAATTCTAGAACATACTTTATCACCTAGTGAAATACAAACTTTTCTCCTTTCTAAAGCTGATTTAGCATTTTTCATCATGTCATGTAGTAATTTCATCCTGGCAATAAAAATGCACTTCCATTTTTGAAAAATGTTCCAGAACAAGAGACAGAGGGTCAAGAAATTGGATACTTGAGACAGAATAAACATTATAAAGATACCTTCTACCTTTTGAGCAACCGGCAGGACAATATCTGCTCACCTCAGATTGGCCATTATACTATCTCTTGACTTTCATCAACTGCAGGGTTTTTAATCTGTGTTTAGTTATACAGTAAGTCCCTAAGTCTGTATAGATCTAATGGGCAAACGAGAGTACTAAGGTGACAAATTCTAAGCAGAGGATACAGTCCTTTACACCATTTATTGTAACAGCACTTAGTTACTTGTGTGAAAGCTTGTCTGATCATCAACATTGCCTAGACATTTTGTGACTTCTCAATGAGCATCCCTTTAGCTCC